CGGGCACCACCGAGCCGGTGCCCTGAGGTCGGCGCGGTGGTGCGGGAGCTAAGCGGGACAGATTCCCCCCTTAAGTCGGGATGTGTTACAGCTGTACCGGGGACTCCCCGAGGGCAGTGAGGCCAACCCGAGCCGAGCAGCTCTTGTCCCACCACCTGTCACGGCAGCCTTAGGGACACCGGATCCTCTTGTTGCAGGAGCCCCCCCAGCGATCCCCTGCTGCAGCCCTATTTCCCCTCCCGGCACGGCCCTCGGCACCCCCACAGGCACGTCAGGGACTGCCAGCCTGTCAGGTACGGCAATGTAACGCACGAAGCTTGGCCCAGCGACAACACGACGGGCGGACCGGTGGCTACCACCAGAACGTTTGTTTCTTACATCCCCCCGGGGGGCGAGGACCATAGAGCTGTCTACGGCCACTTCACCTTTGTGAGGAACCCCCTGAGGACCGTCTCCGTGCTAGAGCCAGGTGGCACAGGAGGCTGCCAGGCTCACCGCAGAGCTCCCGTGGAAGAGACCGCAAAGCTCAGGAAGTGCCTGGTGGCCCAGAACGGTGGGTACTTCGACATGGAAACCGGAGAGTGCCTTGGGAACGTTGTGAGTGATGGAAAGCTGGTGAGAAATTCTGGAGGCCTGCAAAACGCTCAGTTCGGCATCCGGAAGGATGGCACGATGGTGTTTGGGTAAGAACTCGGAGGATGTTTGGAGAGCACTCTTCTCCCTGGAGACCAGTCACTGAGGGAGGAGGCGCTGCCTGCTTGGCCTCTCCCAGTGACAACATGAGGATCTTTTGAGCACTTGAATGAGGGCTGTCCTACCTGTACCCCATTGAGCTATCTCTGGCCATTGGCTTTTTTTCCTAGGATGAACAGAACCTGGATAAATTACTCTGATGGTCTCTATCTCTTGTGTCTCCTCTCCCAACACACAGCAGGTACACTTGACTGGTAGAAGGGCAAGAGCTCTCTGTCCTCCCCAGGGAGGAGAGGCAGACCGAGCTATGTAACTCTTCTGGCCATAGCACAGAAATGCTGGGGTCAGAACTGCTAAGTAGAAATGGAGGCACCTCCTGGATTGCCTCTGCTCCTCTGTGTTGACTTTTCAGCAGATGGTTAAAGTCTCCCATCAGTGCCAGGGCCTGTGAACGTGAGGCTTTTTCCAGTTTTCTGAAGGCTGCTGGGAGCTGTGGTCTCAGCCTGGTGGTGATATAGGCCTCTTCCTGGCACCGGCTGAGAGGTTGTGTGATGCTCCTCAGGTGTGAGCTGGAGACAGAAGCTCAAAGCACCCTTTGATGAGGAGTAGCAGAGGGCTGTTAGTGCCTGCTGGAAGCAAAGGCCCCTGGTAGCTGCCCTTCCCCAGCAGTAGCAGGCACCCTAAAGGGTGAAGAAGGGTTTCCTATGTTAAATGCAGTCACTGTGCTGTGCAGCTTATTGGCTGCTTGGTGTCTCTGCAGTTTCCAAAACATGACACCGGAAACGGTTTTGGTGTAAATAGTTTGGTCTGTCAGGTCAGTGGGGAAGGTAGTTCACACTTGACCCTTTCTCACTATGATACCATCTACAGGATGGGGCATCAGGGCACGTTGTTACCCCAAACCTAGCAAAGATGCTGCCTCTGCTGCCTAGACTGGCGATCGATAATTGCAGGCTTTAAAAGCTGGCAGTTGATTAGTCCATGCTCAAGCTGTTGTGCAATTTGATCCATTTCAGCTGTGTTCGTGTTATCCTGGTGTTCCCTTCCTGTGGATAAAGGGATTTCTTTTTGAATGTTTTCCATTTAAGTATTTTCAGTTACTGTTTTCTACAAAGCGTGAAGCTTTGTTCGGCCACAGTCACAGATACTAAAAAGCTAAAAGTTGGGCATCCAGCTCTAAGATGTATTTGGCATGTAGAGCCATCAGTTTTAAATAAAAAACCAGTGGCAGAGCTTGCAGCGAATGCACAGCTGTTGAGCCCCCCCTTTGCTGCTGTCCTCTCCAGTCAGCGGCAGACATCGCCTAGCACCAGGTTCGGAGGCAGAAGTTGCTCAGCACCCTAATTCTGGAGAGAAGAACATCCCATGGGGAGCAGCCCACACACACAGCACCTGATAGTTGAAATGGTTGCTGGACAGTCCTTTTCCTCTCTGTTTGGTGGAAGGGTTTGCTGTCTGGAAGAGCAGAGGAAGCTCTTTCCCAGGTGGAGGGGAGCAGGTAGCTTCCTGCAGTGTCTGTCCTCCATGCAGCTGTAGGCAGACTGGATGCTGTTGCTGAGAAACCTCTCAAAAGCTGTTTGGTGTCACTGTTCTGCAGAATGGAAGCTGACAGACAGCAAGATGTTACAGCTGCTTCCACAGATCCCTGTGTATCTGGCAATGGCTCTGCCCTCGTGTTCTGCCAGATGTTTTCTGCCCTTATCCTGGCTCAGGTCCACTGGCCATATCATTGACGGGGATTATTTTATGCACAGTGGCCTGGGACCATCATTAACAGTGGTTTTGTGAAGAATAGCAGAGAACGGGGCCCACTCTGGCTGCTAAAGTGATGTTTGGCACTGCTTGGCCTCTAGTTTTGTAGGTAGCCTTCATTCAGCCACCTCCTCCCTGCTTCTGCAGCTTTTAAATGACACTGCTGTGTCTGTGGGTAACCTCGCTGCTCTCTCTTTCCTAGTTACCTGTCTGAGGAAGATGTCTTGGATCAAGCAAACCCTTTTGTGCAGCTTGTGAGCGGGGTAGTTTGGCTCCTCAGAGATGGAGAAGTGTACGTCAGTCAGAGTCAAATAGCTGAGTGTGATGAAATTCAAACCACAGGTAAATATGGTAAAGCTGGGGTACAGAGTGTCCTTCTGATGGGGCTGTTGGAAGCAGGGAGTAGCTGTGGAAACTACGTTGTCTCATTGCAGTTTGCTACTCACTTAAGAGGTCCAAAGTTCTTCTGTGCTGCTTTACCCTGAGTCTGCGGCAAGAAATAGGCTGCCTGTGAGATCAGGCTGCACTCCCCTGTTCAGGGTTGTTGGAGAGAATTTGCTGAGGATTGTAAATAGTGGTGGCACATTTGGTGTTAATGCCTGTCTAGAGAAACTCAAAGCAGGTGCCTCTTACAGGAATTTAGAACTGAGGGCTTTTGAATCCCCTTCTTTGTCCCTGTGCCAGACAAAATCTTAGCAACGCTGCTTCTGGAAATGTTATTCCTAAGTGGGCTGGGGTGAACAAGAGAGACCTGGGCTCTCTTCTCCTTGTGTTTCAGTTTAGCTGAGCAGTTTAGCTCCCTTCCTAGAAGCTCTTTGGCAGACAGATGTGTCTAAACAGCCAGTTCTGTCACCCAGCTGGTGCCTGAATTATTCCCTCACCTGCACAGGAACCTTCGAGAAGTTCATCAATGTGATATCAGCCAGGACTGCAGTTGGACACGACAGTCAGGGGCAGCTGGTCCTGGTTCACGTGGATGGACAGACTGAATCCAGAGGGTAAGGCCAGGTTGTGGTAAGGTCTTGGGCCAGGTGCAAGAGGAGTCTTTAAATTCTGTCGCTGAACTGGAGGGTCTCTGCAGCTGTCATTAGTGTGTTTTAAGGCAGAGACTCGCAGAGCTCAAGGTCAGCCAAGGACACCACTGTTTGGTGTCATTCTGGCAGAGCCAGGAAAGGCTGATGCAGCCTCCAGGCAGTGAATCAGCATGCATAGGATGGGAGAGCTTCCCCTTTCCACTGAGGAGAGTGACCAGGCTTCTAGTGTAGTGGTTTCATTGAGGCTAAATAGCAAAGAATCACAGAACGGTTTGGGTTAGAAGGGACCTCAAAGCTCCCCCAGTCCAACCCCTGCCATGGGCAGGGACACCTCCACCAGCCCAGGCTGCTCAGAGTCCCATCCAACCTGACCTTGAGCACTGCCAGGGAGAGGGCATCCACAACTTCTCTGGGCAGCCTGTGCCAGTGTCTCACCACCCTCACAGTAAAGAATGTCTTCCTAATATCTAAATCTCCTGTCTTTCAGCTTGAAATCATTACCCCTCGTCTTATCACTACACGCCCTTGTAAAAAATCCTTCCCCAGCTTTCTCCTATTCATTCTTGCATGAATGAGTAACAAACAGCTGTTTGCTTTTGCAGGGTCAACCTCTGGGAAATGGCTGAATTTCTGAAGGAGCAGGGAATCATCAATGCTATCAACCTGGATGGTGGAGGGTCTGCAACGCTGGTCTTAAACGGGACACTCGCAAGCTACCCATCTGAGCACTGGTAGGTGCTGGTGGCACATGCCCAGGGCTGCACAAGTAACACAGAGCTCAGTCCTGCGCCCTGCTTTGTCAAGGAGTGTCTGCATTGCTGGGAGTTCATGATGTAAAGGCCAGTGACGAGTTTTGAGAGAAACAGTGACTGAAATTTAAAGTCATTTAGTGACTATGTATTTTTTCCCCTTAGTCACCCAGAATTGCAGTTTGCTGTTTTCAGACATGGAGCAAAGTTGTTTGACCTGGCTGAGTGCCCTGATGTGGGAATCAGATAAGGAAGCAGCTCTTAGACTGGGAGATTCAGAGCTGCACATTCACAGGAATTAGCAGAGATCTGTCAACAGCTTTTTATTATGAAACAGAGACACTGACTTGGAGACCCTGCCCTGCATCATGTGAGAGAACCTAAAGAGTATTTTACTTTAAATTTCACTTTTTAGTCATTTCTGACTGTAAACACGAAAGGATTTAAAATTCATTTTGCAGTCTGACAGTTGAAAGCCAAGCATTGCTATAACTGCAATGACATCACTTATATCAAAACAAATAATATTCAAGAAACTGTGAACACCAAAGTTAGAGAAACTGGGGCTGCTTAAAGGGAGACTGCTTGCACGTTGCTTTCTGTAATTCCATGTTTGAAATGACTCCCTGCCAAGAGAAGTTAATGCTTTCGACTCAAATCTAGTTCTATGTTTCTGTTTTCCCACTGTTAATGTTCTCATTTACCAATGTAAATCAGGATGAAAATTTGTGGACTATATCAGCTGGTCACACTTAGGGCTGGGGGCAGCACAATGCTTGCGTGCCTTATGGGACCCATCTTCTGTCCCTAGCTCCTTTGACAACATGTGGCGGTGCCCTCGGAGCATCTCCACCATCGTGTGCATCCACGAGCCTGCCTGCGAGCCTGCAGACTGCAGCGGTCACGGGAACTGTGTGGAAGGGGAGTGCCACTGCGCTGGGGACTTCTGGAGAGGCCCTGCCTGCGACATCTTGGACTGTGGCCCTTCCAATTGCAGCCTGCATGGCACCTGCACCGACGGTGAGTCACTGTGGTGCAGAGTGAAGGAGATGGCAGTGGGTGCCCGTGAGTCGCTCCAGGGGAGGTAGAGACCTGGGCAGCACATACACGGGGACTGTCACTTACCTGCCCATGGGGTACCACAGTGGGGCCTCAGCGTGTCGCAGGGTGCAGCCTGGCTGGTACCCGGGGTCCTTTCCCAGCCTGGTGCGAAGGAGCATAGCACCTGGGAACTAGCACCAGCAGCAGCCGCTTTCTTCACTGCAGAGCGGCCTCTTTGGAGAGGCTTCCCAGCCCTGGGAGCCCAGGCTTTTAGGGCCGCAGGTGCTGGTTATCTGGCCAGCCTGTGCTGTGGCTCTGAGGCCAGCTGGAGCTGTGTGCCTCAGCCCTTCTCTTACCTTCTGGGTGCATGGAGCTGCTCCAGCCCTTCCCTCAACATCTGAAGCAGCAGTAGAGATGGTCAGAACACATTGCCTTTAGGAGAGAGCAGCAGTGCTAGGCTGGGTCTCAGAGCTGGAAACTGGACCTGTAATGGGACTTGACTTCCAAGTCTGTGCTTCAGTTTCCCTTTTATGCCCCCTGGGATTGTGCTTCTGGTTTGTTTGTAAATCTGCTGACGGTAAGGGCAGCGTGTTACGCTGTATGACAGAGCAGCTGAGTCCTGCTCCCTCTCTTTACTTGTTCCTTCTTGATTCTCCTGCTTCACGATTTTTACAAGTGTGCAATTGCTAATCTTCCATGAAGGTGATTTTAATCTAGAGGCTGCTGAAATGTGCACCCCTCAGCTTCTGCTCTTCTGTGTCTGCTCAGTCCTGTTTTCCTGTTTCTGTACTACCTCCCTGATTCAACTCACAGCCAAGTTTGCCCCAGTGAAGTGACTGGGTAGAGCTCAGTGGATGGATGCATTGCTCATAGTTTACCCAGAATTAATGTCTCAAAATCCAGTCAGCAGGAGGTTCTGCTGTGTTTGGCAGCTGTGGTGGGTGCATGTTTGAACCTAACTTGTGTGTGAGCTCAGGATTCCCCTTCTGTGCGTTCCCTGGCAGAGGCAGGGAGAGTTAAAAGGGCACCCCAAGAAGCAGAGGCTCCTAACTTTGAGTTCTTGCTGTTTCTGAGTCTTTCTGTGTCATTGTTAATGCCTGTCTGTGTGTTTCCGCAGCTGGATGCCTGTGTGATGCTGGCTGGATTGGCAGCAACTGCAGTGAAGGTAACACTGACTTCCACTCCACTTCTTTGTAGCCGGCGAAGGCCAGTGCGACCCACTGCTGGCTGCCTGCAGTGGTGGGTGGCTCCCCAACAGGGAGCAGTGAAAGGAAAGGCCATAGCGTGCTGCTCTTTTTTGTCTGTGTGAGTTTAATCACAGCCTGAGCATCTTAAGATTGGCTTGGTGTGAGGCACTTCAAGCCGTTGCTCCTTGTTGAAGGCACAGACTCGGCTTCTGTTCCCTGAGCAGCCATCACCACCCTGTGCCAGTGACTGCTTTGTGGGTGTAAGCCTGGGGTGGGATTGTTCACTTTCGTAATGAGGGCCCTGATCAGATCTCTGCTGTCTCCTGTAGCTTGTCCCAGTGGTTTCTATGGGGATGCTTGTACCCAGAAATGCCAGTGCCAGAATGGTGGCTCCTGTGACCCCGTGCATGGAGCCTGCTCCTGCCTGCCTGGGTACTATAGCACCCACTGTAAGCAAGGTAAGGGCTGCTCTGAATAACTTCCCAGGCTGGGGAGAGGCTTTTGTGTCACATCTGAGCCACCTCTTATAGGCAAAGTGAGTGTCAGGTTCATGAGGCAGGCTCGGGTCCGAACTTAACAGCTGGAGCATAATGTGCCAGTTCTTTGGGGCTTGCCCAGCAGACCCAAACTGGCTAAAAGGGAGCAGAAAGGAGAGAGGAATTTTCTTTATCATTAGAAAATTGTAGATTCCACTTTAACCTCTGTCCCACAGAACTGCCTTGCTTTCCCAAGCTCACGAGTGTAAAATGCAAATACTCAAATAGCCTTTGCTTGAGGGAACAGGCCCTGCCTGTTCCCTGGGGGTCAGGTGAGCCAAGAGAGTGAGTGTGGAACGCTCTAAAGGGCCACTCTGGCTGACAGCCTTTGAACGGTCTGTGCATGTGATATTCCCAATTGTGTAACCACTCCAACCTTTCTGAAGTGCTCAAGCCCCCCTGTGTCTGACTGAGGAGCCTGCTCTGGTGACAGGACAAGTTAATGGCAGCGTGGGTGTCAACTTCTTGTGACACACACATGCTTATGTTAGTGATGCTTTGTTCCCATCCTAGGAACACTCGGTCAGACCGATTCCTATTTTACAGAATCTCTGTGAAATAAACAAAACAACAGCAGTAACTCTCAGTTTGGTGCTTTCAGGCTGGAAGAAACAGAGTGGGCAGGCAGAGCAGCTTTGCCAGACTCTGGGAAACCTGAGGCCTTGGTGGCTCAGTGCAGCCAAAGAGCCCTGGGTGCTTGTGCTCAAACATGAGTACTTGCTTCCCTTTAGTGATTGCCCACTGGTGCCCCCCATGCCTTTGCTTCTGAGCCAAACAGCAGGACTGTACCTCAGAGGGGGCAGGGAGAAAAACGCATGGGAAGCAGAAAGGCCAGAAACTGGTATGCAATGCGAGTACCTTGAGATGTGGGTAAGGGTCTCTCCTCCAGCTTGGAGCATGCCCATCCTTCCCGGGACTGAGCTGGTGCTGCTGGGGAGACAGGCACGGTGCAGCTGGGGGCAAGGGGAGCTGCAGCGATAGACTTGGTGATATCAGAGCACACAGAGCTTTAACAGCATCTGAGTTCCTTGTAATCCATTCCCTAGAGTGTCCCATGGGCTGGTACGGGCCAAACTGCCAGGAGCAATGTGCATGTGAACATACGTGTCCCTGTGACCGGGAGACGGGCAGCTGCAACATCACCTATGATTTGGCAGTACAGGACCAGTTAAACAAAGGTACCAGCAATCAAAGCGTTCATTTTCTTAAAAAAAAATAATCTTTGGTGTATAACAGTCTGCTTGCTGAGTTACTGCCTCTGGCTGGCTGTCATCTTTCCTAAGCTTACTCCTTTTCCATGGAATTTTACATCTTCCCCCCCCCCTCTTCTTTTCTTTGTTTTCCAGCTGGGCGATGTTTGGCTTCCCAGAATAAGGAAAGGAGCAAGGAAAAGTTCTCTCTGCCAGAGTAAGTCTGTAATACTCATCACATACATATGTACATACACACCAAGCTCACAAAGTCCCTTGCTCACTACAAGATGGAGTTGTTCTCACCACCTCCTGCTGCTTCACTGGCCAAAGCGTCTGTGTCCTGACTTTGTTGTATCACTGACCCCTCTCATGGTGAGAAAGATGAGGATAGGGAGGACAAGGTGCTAAAAACTGAGGTGAAGCCCCTGTCAGTGGCAGTCTGTGCTCTGCAGCCAATAGTTGACACCTTCCCCACTGTATACACAACAAACAGCCAGAGACAGTTCCAACACCAAAGCACTGCTGCTGTAGTACAGGTGAAGCTACAGTCATCCTGCGGGCACAGTCATCCACTTGTAAACGAAGTGGAAAGCTAAAACCATCCCTTTGCTGTCTGCCAGAGCAGCCCTTCAGAGGCTTGCATACAGCATGTTCTCACCTGCTCCAAAGTAGACCCATGAGCTTGTGACGACAGAGAAGGGAGTACAGACCTTGAGAAGCCATTTGCACACTGGGAACACATGAAAGCAGGTCAAGAGATGTTGCTTATGTGGATTTTTCTTATGTCTGACAGAAAAACCTGGATCTCTGTGACCTCCGTCTTGGCTCTGCTTCTGGGGATCAGCGCCATGGGAAACGTAGGCCTTTTCCTCAAGGCCAGGGCAGCGAGGCACAGTAAGAGCGGTGACTATTTCTACCACCCACTGCAGGAGATCAACGGGGAAGCCAGTCACACCTCCACATCTGCTGCCTGCGAGACAGAAGACACTCAGGACCAAACTCCACTCCTTTAGCCCCAGCTGAGGAGAGATGAGGTATTTTACTCTGCACCTTGTGCTGCCACACAGCACTGACAATTGTGGAGGCTGTTTGGACCTGGAGCGTAGATCTGCATAGGACAGCAGCAAGGTTCCTCAGTCCAAGAAACTCCCTTGCTTCTGGCCCAGCCATGCTGAGGACACAGCCAGCTGCCCTGCCTGCCTCTGAGGCTCCTGCCAGAGCAAACAAGACTCTGTCATTAGTTACCATGAAAGGATGCAGGGCACAAGCCCTGTGTCCACTCACAGAGGTGGATAAAGGAATTCCACAGCTGCAGCAGGAAGGGAGAGGGACTGGAAGGAAGCAGGGGAGAGATGTAAGCCATAGGTACTTCAGAAAGGCCCCTGTTCACCTGAGTGGTAAGTATTTTTAACATGCAAGATAAAACTGCCTGCAGCATAAAGCTTAAGGAAGCTGGTTTAAGGATGCTGTAGTCTTTAACTGTTTG